CTACAGTATACAGCTTTAACAGTTGTGCTTAAGCTGTTCAACAAATGGTTCCATTTACAAAGCAGGGCAAATTGTATTATTTGTTGATGTCAGTGTTCAATTTCTGTTGTAAGGTGAAAGAAATAGAAATCTATTACCTTGCCTTTTGTCAGCACAGCTTTGCAAACAGCTAGCAGAAATTAGCAGGCTGACTGGCATACGCTGCATTCAAGAGAAGCTACCTTAGCTGTAGAGTAGGTTTAAAATGTTTCACAGCAATATTTAATTTAGATGCCTGATTTAGAATCCTGCTAAAGTAATGTTAAAAAAAAAAAAACCACGATAAAAAACACACAATACAAAGAATGAGGACATTCTTTTTCTTTTATGCTACACGATATTTAGTGTCTGCATTAAAAGAAGTTCGGATTCCTGTAACAGCTACTTGATTGGGATGATTAAAGTGTGATTATCTTAGTTTTATGTCGCTAATTTGTTCAAACTGGTCACCCTTTTGAAACAGTCAGAAGACAATTTAAAGTCATTATCAAAGATAACAGAGTTTGTTTTCTTATGGGGAGTAGGTGACAGAAAAAGGAGGGAAGGAATGGAGTGGGAAGGAAAGGAGGTGATGCATTATGTTGTAGTGTTTCTTTATGTATGTATTTAAGTATCACCTACCTGATATGTTTTTTCTCTTCAAAAACTCTCCACGCATAGCATTAGTTTAGGCATGTTTTCTCCTGCATGAGTCAGTCTTGGCTGTGTCATAGTCCTTTCCAAAACTCTCCTTGACTTACAGATCTAAATCTTTTCAGGAGTATGCGTTTCATCTTTGGAATTAATGTTTTTTGACTGTGTGGAAACTCTTCACATATGTTTGTCATATTGTAGCTGTCTTATTTCAAAGGATCTCCTTACATAAGGAGGTAGCAAAAATGTCGTCTTTTGCTTTGTCTTTTTCACAGATTTTTTTTGTTGTGGCTAATAGGAAGAAAATTTGATAGAAGGGTCAGCTCACCATCTGTCTGACTGACTATGCCACTTAGAATGGTTCCCAGGAGAAAAGTGGCAACTCAGAACCTAGCCTTTAGTCTCAGAATCTTACCTAAAAATAAGTGGATATTCTGCCACTTGAAGCAATAAATTAAGTTGAACCCACAATTTTTATCTGTTAAAATGCACTTGTTTGTGTAATTCAGTATCATTATTTAGAGACTTGCCTAGCACGCTTTTGGAGTTTACAGGATGAACCTGAACCTCACAGCAAATTCTTTACCATTGCTTGAATTCCTCATGCATACACAACTGATGTCTTAAGTTTGAAGTATACTCTCTTTAGACATTTTCATTATATTACAATTAGAAGCAGTAAGGGTTCTTCATCTTTCTTGTCCTGTAGTAGATTTTTTTCTGTTTTTAGAGCTCTATATAGGTATTTGAAGTAAAAAATGTCTGAAAATCTGTAGAAACAGAAGACACTTGAACTTGTTACTCTTATTTCCCTGCTCTAAAGAACCAAACTTATGTACAAATTTGCAGGGCTATATTACAAACTATCGTATAAATATCTTCTGTGGGAATTATATGATGACTTAGGACACCAGTTCCAATGCTTAATTATCGTTATCATTAATTCACCCAAGTGTTAATCCACTACATTTGAAGTTATACTGTTAATAGGGAATTACTGTCATGTCCACTATCCATTTCTACCCACAGTTTTTACTTGCCTGGCACTCTTCTCAGAGTTCTCAGGCTTGCTACCTGGCTTGGTGAGATATGTGTTCTAGGAACCTCTGAAGATAGACTCGTAATTTACTGACAGTTAGTTATGTCAATAACGGCATTTCTGAAGCAATGGCAGAGACCAATTTTCCATTTGGTCAGTCAGCCTGGCTTCCATAGAAAATTCCACTTAAAGTTTTTCAGGTTATCTCATAGCTTAATTGTATAGGAAAGTTATTGCAAATGTCTGTCCAGGTGAATAGACTTTTTAATTGTTGGTCTTAAGTCTTAAGTAGCTGTGTTAGCAGTCTTTCTATTCTGCTTGTCATGAAGTTCACAGCTTATACATAAAATTGGTTGTTCTTTATGTGAACTTAATTTTGATATGATATACAATGTTGGTAATCAAAGTTAAAAGGCAAACTTTCCCAGAAAGGAATCGTGTCACATTAAAAAAAGATCAAAATGAGTCTTTCCAAATATATATTTTTAGACCTCACATCCTACATGCTATTGAGAGCTCTAAACTTGAAGAATGTACTCTCAGTTGGCTAGGAGTGCTTTTCGGATGCGTTTTAATTGTGTGTACATGTGTAATTTACATGCTGGTTCATGGAAACGCAAGACTGAATTGGAAGTGAATTTGTTATTGTGGTTTTTTTCTTAACATGAAAGTCTGTTTTTTGATGGAAGGGTGAAATTGAGGTGGCAGAGTGCTTATCTTACCATTCCAGAGCCGTGCTACCAGAAAAGAATTGCAGGGAGTATAAAACATTGAGGATAGAAAACTTTTTTATGTTTCCTAAATTGTAAGCAGGTTTCATTACAAAAGAATTCCTGAAGAACAGAAAATGATAAGGGAGAAACCAAGTTGATAACGTAAATGCTGTCTCTGAGTTATGGTATTGTATTTGGTTACATTATTAGGAAGAATGCTATTAAAAGGGAAATTATAAAGACTTTAAGACTGATTCATAGTTGGTAAACAGAAACGACTGTTAGTTTAACAAGTTTCTACTTCAGCTATTTATCACTGCTTTTCTCAGTGTTCATCCCTGCATCAGGCTTGTTTTCATATAGATCATGGTACTGTTATTCAAACTCACCTGCTTCAGCACTGCAATACCTTTCTATTTATAGTGTGCTATTATATACAAGTATCAAAATGAGTTTAAAATTAATATCACAAATGATGTATGTATTTATACTGTTATATGATGTGTGTGTGTGTATGTGTATATATATATAAATGATGTATGTGTTCATACTGATACTGTTCCCTTGACATTGACTTAGAAAATTAGTTTTCTTTAATGGGCAGTTCTTAATCCTTTTTGCTTGTTGTATTTGCTTGGTGGTTGTTTTTGTGTGTGTGTGTGTGTGTGTGTGTGTGTGTGTGTGTGTGTGTGTGTTTCATTTTTTTTTTTTTTTAACTGATGAGCACTGAGAATAAGTACTTTGTTTACCATTTTCCACCAAAATGGGTCATTGTTTGATAGTTTCATGTTCTTCCTCCTTCAGGGAGTTTCAATTAGGGAAAATCATTCTTCCTAATTCAGCAGGGTTCTGGCACTAGGCTTTGGCACACTCTTGTTCCCAGTAGTGTAAGTTAGGCCTGCTGTTAGGGCAGAATGTAGCATTCCTTTAAGGAAAAATTGTTCCTAGAAGGAATTGTTACCGAGATCCTTAGAAAATTAAGATTAACTAAGAATGGAACAGCCTGCCTACTAACAATACTAATTATTAAAAAAAAAAAAAGCTTCATTAGTTTCGTATTTGTTTCCAGCAGAAGCAAAGATTTCTAACATTTCTCTTCTTTGGGCTGCTTTTTCCTAATTTCTGTTTTAAGAGGGCATGTAAACATTAACCTACACTAGCCAATATTATCACTGACATGATGGTGGTAACTCATCACTAGTAAATTTAAGGATTGATTACTCAGGGCTTTTTGAAAAGAAACTAGGACTAATGATTTTTCCAGGAAGCGCATACCTAAGAACATATCTGAGAGATCAATGGAATGGCATCAGGGCTGAACCAGAGGAAATAAATAAAAAAAAAATTTCATTACCGGTGTTTTACAGTTATCTAGTATACCTGAGATGAAAAAACTCCTTAGGAAAGGGATGTTGTTGTTTACCTCATGATTTCATATGATCTTCCTTTTGCCACAGATGCATGCCTCTAAACAGGCAGATAAAGCAAGTTTTTGTAGGGAGTTCTCTGTTAGCAATTTCTTGCTCCTCCTGACCATCTAGGCACAATATTTTTCATGTCTGGGCTATTTAATGTGATTTTTCTAGTTTGGTACTTAGTCATAATTCTTGAAACAGTTCTGTTGGAGGAAAAAGATTTAATATTGACTTATCTGCAATAGAACTGAAGACCAGAAGTTAGGTGACTATCTTTGAGTACAGTATGATTGGTAAGAAGAGAGTTATTTTCCACGTATTGAAGGTAACTGAATTAAAACCAAGAGCCTCTGTATAACTTGTTGCAAAAAGGTGTTTTTTTACTCTGCCTTTTTTAATAGGAGAATGACTTCTGTGTTTGATGTTCTGACTAGAAAATAGATTTGGAGTTGTTATTGTAGATGTAAAAATAGATATACATATAAAATTCTTAAATGTTTTATAACTTTACATGATTCTGTGGCCTAATTTTCATTTATTTCTATAAATAGTTTAAGAATATCCTCCTGTACAGAGAAGTATACAAATATCCTCTCCCCTCCTCCCTTTTTTTCCTGTTTGACTTTTCACACCGAAAAATTCTTGAAATGATACATAAATTTTAGAAAAGTGATTTTTATGTGTGAAAGTTTACTGACTCTTTTATCATAAAAGATGTTTTTTTTTCTTTTACACAAATAACTGCACATTAAAAAAATCTGATATTCAAAGCCTCTAAAAGTCAGGTTGCCATGTTTTCTGAAAGGACAGACTTCAGTTCATTTTAATTGTGATATGGCAAAAAGAACTGTAATTTGTATTAAAAAAAAAAAAAAAAAAAAGAGAGAGAGAAAACAAATTTCTTCCTGAAATCCTTCTTCCTTTAGTTCTAAAACCGTTAATTAGCACATGCAAGTATGTTTTGATACACAGTTACGGAATCTCCAGTATTGAAACCAGCTTTTAATATCAGCAATAAGAAGTACCATAATTGCTTGGACACTGGGGAGGCAAAAAAGGTAGCCTGCTAAAGTCAGTCATCTTGGTAAATCAGAATTTGACACATTACTTTAGAGTTGACTAGTTTTTTGTGATTTTTGTCTCTTAAAAATGTCTTTTCAGCTTGGATGAATTAATAGAAACATTTCTGGAAGATGATGATCCTGAAACCACTTTGGATGTTGGAGCAGATATGCGCAAGATCAAGTACTGCTTCACTTACTTGAAGGTATTTCTTTAAACATAGGTAGAGATGCAGCTGGGACTGCATGTACATTGAAGACATTCACAATTAAAAGAATCAAGTGATGCAGTATATTTGAGAGATGGAAAATGGTAAAACTGTGAATTGCATGAAGAACTAATAGAAATTTGGAATTTAATTGGAAAAATGCAGCAAGATTGTGTGAAAGGATCACAACTTGTACTAAATTGTAAGAGAGGACTGTAAGTTATTGGAATCAATCCATTGCAAGCTATTTGTAAGTGGGTTGATTTATCTGTGTATTCAGAATGCTATGATGTCCTTACTTTTCATAAACTATGTCAAAAGATAAAAATAATATTAAAGCACCATATGCTTGAATCCATTGCACAATCTTACCAGTGTAAGCACTTCAACTCTGAGGAAACAAGATATACTTGAAGTAGAAAGAACAGTGAGGTTAGTAGAGAAATAAGTAGAAGGCATTATACACTTTTTCTGTTTTGGGATGTTGTTTTATAACATAATAAGACATGCATTCCTGATTTAAATTTATTGTGTTTGAATAATTAGGTCTTATTTGCACTGTTAATATCGAAAATACCATGATGCTACAGAACACTGGAGTCTCACTTAGATAGGATATAGTAAACGTGAAGTATAGTAACAGTGAAAAACAACAAATGCAACTCATTCTGAACACCTACTCATGCCAAACATTTGCGTATAGCTTGATATAGTGGCATGATTTTATTCTCTCAAGGATGTATACAGACGTTGTTTTCCGCATATTTTCCAGTGAGTCACAAGAGAAAGTAAATACGTAGCTGGATGTAAAGTTATGAAAGTAATTTTATTTTTTTCTTCTGGTAGCTACGACAGAATCATTCAAAGGTTTCTGATGAAAAGCTGCTCTCACATCACATCTGTGAAGAAAAAGACACTAGCAAAGAAGCAGGAAAAGAGGAATTGAAAAAAATGAAAGAACTTCTGCAGCAAAGAGACAATGAGATCAGTATCCTTAGCAGGGGAAAAAATAATATTTGGGTTTCAGCTGATGTGGCTACAATGGTTTCTCTGTGTGTGAGATAGGAGTTGGCTGCATGAAATGAGTTTCTCTCTATTGACCCCACTGTGTTAAAGCAATTACTTGGTTTCCAAATTTTATGTGGCAAGACCCTTTCTTTACACCTGCTTCTATTTCAGTTGTGACCCAAACCAAAATCCTGGATCCAGGCACCACTTAGCTTTAGAGTGGTCCAGCCAAGATCCAAAGACTGCGAATAAACCCATGCCTAAAAAACTCTCCTCAAGCAAATTAGGCATTTTTCCCATAGAATGGGAAAATCTGATGCTATGTAAAGATCAATTTATTACCTTACAAAGAATAGAATTTCCTGTAAGTGTTATTTTTAGCCAAATGAAGTGCTGCTTTGGGGACTATTGGATTATGTACCTTTTGAATGAATATGAAACTTATACTCTTTACACGCATTTAAAAATTAAATTAAAGCTAAGGCTTTCTGCATATAAAAATATTAGAATACTTAAATGTGCTTTGTCCATTTCAGTGCCTCACAGCAGGCACAAGTATGTAGGTTGCAGTGAAAGCAATGTCTTTGTATTTGTTATAGTGTTCATGAGAATAAAAAGAGCACAATAGCAGTACTCGATAGAGCAAATTCTCAGCTACAAAGCAATATTTATTTCCATCATAGTCACCCTTAGCTATGCATTTTTGTCAGTAATGTACACTAACCTGCATGCTGTTCTTGTGAAGATCTGCAGCAATGGAGGGGACCCACTGTCAACAATGCTGACATGGGCCTCTTAATGCCTCACTGTGCCCACTTTCACTGTTTAGTCTCCATAAATGTTCAGTAAGTGCCAATGAATGTCAGTAGGTGTCTTTTTTTCCATGTGGAAGAATTCAATGACACTTTTTCTTCATATGCACTCCCATGTCAGATACCATTTTGCAAGACTGCTTATCTGCTGCCATTTGTTGCACAGCAACAAAATGTAACAGAATACTGGTGGGAAGGTTCAACTGCTACTGCCATACTACAGATATATATATGCCTCTGATGTCATGGGCTAACACTGTAAAATGAGAGGCATTGCATTCACTGCAGCTCTTGTATATCAAATTCAGTCTATCATTGTTCAAAAGCTAATAATTTGACTTGTGTGATAAAGTGGTGAGAAATATGAAAGCTTTATAGTCAAGAAATGAGGTTTTCTTGATTGTTCTTCAAACCAGGAGCTATCATAATAACTATACTGTACAGAATTTTATTATTGTCACCCAGTTTACTAATTTATCTTTCCTTAGATTTTTCTGTTCATTTAGAAAATTAATGAGGATTAGAATTAATAACACAATAAAATAAATTCAACAGTACAAAGAATCCTGTGGTTTTGGTTGAAGGCTCACAAAATTTTCCCTGTAAGACCTCTTGATGCTCTTAGCAAAACATATCTATATCATATACTTTTAGTGAATATATAACAGTGCATTTGCTAATTGCTGTTCTGCATTTTAGTAGACTTTCTTGTTATGAAAAGGCTACAGATGTGATACAATTTTCAGCCTAATTGTAAGTTAAGGGTTTCTCCTCTTCAAAAAACTTTGTTTATTAGACTTTAAATAGAATTTAAAAGAATTAAAAAGGGAGTCACACAACAGCAATCTTAATGGAGTTTTCATTTCTGTTTGACTGTAAATGCTCAACAGTTGTGTTCAACTTGTGAATTAATTAGTGCTTTTTAAAGATGAATCTCCTGTATGGAAAAAGCTAAGATGGCTGGATTTAATTTCAAACAAAATTCCTGACTTTAAATTCATGTTCACAAACAGGCTTCTAAATGTGAATTGTTGTAAGTCTTAAAGAAACAAATAATTGTTTTATTGAAAAGAGATTCTTAATTACTTCCTTAATATATCTTGCAGATATTCTGGTAAATATGCTAAAAAATGAGAGAAAGAAAACACGAGAGGCTCTTTTTCAGCTCAATGCTGCCTCTGCTGGTTCTACATCATTGAAGCAGTCTCATTCTATAAACTTAGAAGAAAGTCAAAACCCGCCAAGATTTTTTAGTCTAAAAGAAGCAAAAGATCTCAGCTCTTCAGTTCACAGGCTGCCTTTTCTTTCCAGAACTAAAGGTTAGTGTAAATTAAGCGAGTATTTATTGGGTTATTAAAATATGATTTTCAACATATTATTCAAATGCATAACAGAATAGGATTTTTTTTATTTTTAGTAATAGTAGTATTCTGCTAATTCTGGATACACAAATGCAGGGATACAAATTTATAGTTCTCTCAAGGTAATAATGGCTTTAACAAACTGATGTGAATCTTCTGTTGTATAGTTCTCCCCCCCCCAAAAAAAGTGCAAATTATGTTCTAGAACTTTAAATCTTCAAGTAAATTTGTTCTAGAAAAGGATTTTTTTTAGCATAACTCATAAAAATCACTAGAAAAAAAAGTTGGTTTCCCAGAAAATCTGGAAGTAATGACCTTTAGAAAAAAATAACCAGTACAGCAGGTATTGAAAGAAGTTTTGTGCAGGCGTTATTAATTGCACAGTATAGTAAAACATCAATAAATGCATTTTTCTTTCCAATTTTTTTGTAATCTTACAACCTATGAGAGGAATCTTACTTTCAAATGGAATGAGATTTCATTAATTATGCTTCCATCTCTGATATCAGATTGGGAACTTTCTGTGATTGTCATTAGTAGTTTTGCTTATACTATACTATTTAGGTGTCTGGGTTTTTTTATTCAGCCTTTTCAATAAAATATTGTGATTATTTCAATTATTTTTTAAAAAAAGTGATTAAATAAATTGAAGTCTTAGTTCCAGAAATGAAAGGTAGCTGCACTTTTGTGCATTTCAATAGCTCTATTGCAATTCTGCCTTTCTAGAGCAAGGACTTGGTAAGTATGAACAAATTCAAAATCTGCATTCTGTTGTATTTCAAAATAATAATTTACCATGTGATCCTATAAATAATATCCTTTCTGAAAAAAAAATTGAGCTGAACTGATAGACAAGGTGTTCATTTAGGGTAGCTAACAGTACCATTCGATATACATTAGTGTCATTTGTCAGCAGATAAGTTTGTATATGTGCAACTGATAAAAGATTTTAATCTAGCAGTAACGCCAATTTTTTCTTGTTATTCAAACTATACTGTAACTGTTCTGTAAAATATAGTAGGTAAACATTCCAGATTTTTTTTTTATTGAAAAAGAATTATTTTGGACATATGGTTGGCGAAGAGGACCTGTGACAATGAAGTATCTTCTTTGGCTAGAAGTAAATCTACCTGATTCCTGTCATGTTGGGATAATGAGTGTTTAGATAAGTGTCTGTCTGGACTGAGAAGATAATATGTTCTGAGATGAGAAGTTTTGTGTATGATTAGATTACAAATGTTCTGAAAATAGCTGTAAACGTGTCCCCTTCTTTCCAGTCTACTTTTCAATCTGCTTTGGGTCAGGTTCTGATACTCTGTCACATTCTATGTGACATGAAAACGATGCATCTTCAAAAGTCATGATGGCAAATGTGAACAGAGGAACACTCCCCTAGGGGACATCTTACAGTTAATAAAAATAATTAAAAAAAATATCAGCCATATTTCTCTGAGGGCTACAGATAAATAATAACTTTTTTTTTATTATTCTAAATGTCCATATTTGTCTGCACATCTTTCGAGGGGCCTGATGTTCTGCTGCAAGTCTAGTCAGTAATGTTGGCAGCATTAGGACTTTGAATGTTCTGTAATGTGTAGCTGTTATAATGGTAATGCTGTAAAAACAAAAAGTGTTTCTTAATGTTTGCATTATTGTTCTCAAGGAATACTTTAGAGTAACAAATGTAAAATAATAAATAAAACATAAATGTAGTAGAAACCATGTAAATAGCACAACCCACTCAGCCTTACCAGGATGCCTTAAACCCTATCTCTGGAGACCAACTGTCTTTGCAAGCATGTAACCAAGTTTCCATGCTCTCTCAATCTTTTGTCTCTATGAGAATGACAGCATTTTCCCTAATGTATAAACTATATTTTTCTTTCTTTTGTTTGATTTCTTAGAGTACTGAAAATAACAAGCTTCAGTGCATGTTCACATTGAAAGTATTATGTTCATAAGTTCTTGAAGAATAGTCAAATTGTTTTTCAGATCAGTTCGTAGTTTGAATGAGGCCAAGAGTCTGTCAAAAGAAGAGAAAATGTTTGAGAGTCAAATTCAGTTAAAAGAAAGCCGAACTATGGCTTGTAGTCAATTACATGATTTAAAAAGTAGTAATTGTAGAATCATAGAATGTCTGGGGATGGAAGGGACCTAAAGGACCATCTAATTCCCTGTAGTGGGTGGAGACATCACCCTCTGCACAAAGTTCTACCTAATGTGGCCTTGAACACATTCAGGGATGTGGCTTCAACAACTTCTCTAGGCAACCTGTTTCAGTGCCTCACAACTCTGTGAGTAAATAATTTCCTCCTAACTCCTAAGATTTTCTGCTCTTTTAGTTTAAGAACTGTTTTAGTTTAATTTTTATAATACTACTGTAAGATCAATATCATACATTTAAAAAAAAAAAAAGTCTTATCTACATTTACTTGAAGCATCCTGTTTTATCTGTAGGCAAGTTACTATTTTGAGATGTTTAGCTGCAATGCTCTATAAGATCTCAAGAGGTTATCACTGTTTTTATTGCATAATTTTGGCAGTGTAAAGATACAGTGGTATACTATCAGCCAAAAGCTGTCTGCTATATGTGATAATGATTGAGATATAGCTCTTTCCTTTTGAACTCAGACCTGGACACGTGCTGCAGACTTTATTAATCCAAAAATGTTCTACCCAACAATTAAGGCAAAGTGTTTTGAAAAAATACCACCTGGTGAAATGAGCATTAATTACTTTTGTGGCAAAATAACTTAGTTGATATAAGAGAATTAAAATAAGTGCATATGCTTGGTTAAAACCTACCTTTTGGCCTCCCAATTTCTGTATGGATTTGAGAAGTTTACTTTTAGTAATTGTAATTTTAGTACAGACTATCTTACAGAAATGTTGTTCTCAAGAGTTGGGAATTACTGCAGGCCTCACCAGGTCTCATAATTGATTTTTCTATTATTGTCTTGTAAATAATGTCTTGTAACTTGTAACTACATTACAAGTAACTTTCAGTAAATATTGCCTTGTAATGTAACTTAAAGAAATTTCAGAAAATTATACTGTCAATCCCAGAAATTATAAATATTGACTCATATGTCTTAAAAGATGAGAAAAAATACATTATTAGATTTCAGACTACATAATTTTGAAATATGAATAGGCAAAAAGCATTATTTATTATTAATATTCTGAAAAGAATATTTTCTTCTGCATGCCAGGTCTTCAGAAACCACTCATAACCTAATTTTTACAAGATTCTAAGGACATATTTAACTTTAGCTATGTAAATACCAATAGATTTAACTATGTGCTTACTATTTGATTGAAACAGCAACTCAAAAAAAGCAAATTGTTGGCTAATTAGCATGGATTGTATAAGTAAGGGAGTTACTATGCTGGTTAACTAAAATAGTGTTAACTGTTAAATATCTTTCTTTGCAAGTATCTTTCTTTGCATTTCAGAGTTGTTTAAATTAACAATTTGTGTTTACAAATTGTTAATTTCAAAATCCATATAAAACAACTTATGGCATGCAATAATTCTAGGCAGGTTTTCGTTGCCTAGTTTAATTTTTTTCTTTGTTTTCCAATTGAGTTTTTTAAACAAAAAGCATTAGTGGTATCAATAGGTTTTAGAATTGCTTATGAAAGTTCAGAGGAAAAGCATCCTAGACTAATAGTTCACATATTCATGATTTATTCTTCTGTATACTGTTTATGTATTTTGTAATGAATTTTTTTTTATCTAAAAGTGATAATCAGTTCAAAAGTCAACAATTTAAGTGCAAATAAGCACTTAAATTTCACTAGTATCCTGACATAAATATCTCTTAAGCTATTTAGCATTGCCAGTTTTAGCTATGATGGTATGGTTAGGTTGAGGTTGGATTTGACAGTCTTGAACATCTTTTCCAACCCAATCGATTCTATGATTATCCTCTAAAATTGCTTACTAATTGAGGGGATGGATGAATGGACAGGAGCTGTGTATTGTGAGGTGCATGTGAAAGAAAAAACTTAGTCTAAAAAACAAAATACTTGAGGAAATGAAAGAGGGAAAGGAGGAAACAAAGTCTTAAGAGTTCTGTTTGATTTGGGTTCTGCTTTCTTGCAGTCCAGTGATAATTGAGGAGAATTCAGAACTAGAGCAATCTATACCATGGATTTTTACAGTGGGTGCTTCACATATTTGTTAGATTTATCTGATGCTGTCTTTCTGTCACTTAGCTGTGAAATACTAGACTGGAATAATCTTGCATCTCTTCCCCTGTAGCGAAGTCTGTGAACTTTTTTTAGTTTAGCTCCTAAAACTTTTAATTTGTCTCCTGCTTTTCCTGTGTATCATTCTTCAATTTTGAAGTAAGAATTTACTTGATTTGATATCATAATTATAGTCAATGAATAGAATTTTTTCCTTATAACAAAGTTTTTGATATCCTCAGAAATATGTTAGCAAAAAAAAAAAGTTATATTTTGTCAACAAATCACCAGTATAAATGGTGGTTTATGTAACAGTGCTTATTCTTTAGTCTTTAAGAATCTATGAAGCACTGGCAAGTTGTCACCTTGATATTATGCTCTCTCTTTCTGAAAACGATGTCTTGTTTATGTACAAGTGACCATTGCGCATAACATAGGAACCAGCATATCAGCTCAAATTACTGTATTGCTGAGGATTTTCTGCTACGTTCTGTACAGACAGAGATGGATATTTCAGAAAGTTTGGATGATGACCAATCTTTGATGTTTGTCTTGACATTTCAACAAATAGAAAAGTTTGTGAGGTATGAGGTTCAAATTTCACATATTGCAAATCTCCAAGTAATATTCATAATCCTGAAGCTACGCATTCTTTCAAAATCAATTTGGACTATATGCATATGACTTGTTAATTATACACATCAAGGATACACAAGTGCAGCATCGTAGTAATGTCCTAGGTTTCGCTGAGGACAATGGGCTAT